GGAAGTAGGTACTCTACCCCTGATATTGCTAATATGAATGAATCGGACCTTTTGAGCACTGCTAGGTCGATACTTAACTTTATAAAGGAGATGTCAAGAGCGGCAGTAGATGCCTTTGCTGACGCTCTTGGAATTTGTGATTACAGAAGGATAGTCAGAGTAATTTTGTCTGTTTTTAAGGGAAGCAGTACTTGAAACCCATACAAGTGTATAAAAAAAAAGTAGCATGTAATAATATTAGCTAATATTATTACATGTTACTTTTTTTTTATACACTTGTATGTCTACTGAGGAAGTAGCATTAAGCTTTCATCTATGTTGTCCCCTCCATCTATCATTGCCTTTATGTACACTACAGGTCGTTTTATAAGGATATGAACAATTCCAGCAATGGCTTCAAAAGGCTTTGCCTTGACAATGGCACTGGCCTTTGTAGAGCTTCGACTCTGTAGGTAGCAAAGGGTCTCCTGCGATAAGTTGCTTCTATGAAACTGTGTTTCTGACAGTCCTGCATCTGCAAGTACTTCTTCTAGTCTCTCTAGTGACTCTTCTGCATTCTTCTTAGCCCTTGCAATTAGTTTCTCCGTTTTGTACTCATCTGGAAGCGTCTTGAAGTTTACCCATGTAAATCTTTTGCATTCCTTGAATCGTCTGCGCAGGTCGGTCTTGTCAGACTCTGTAAGACCATTCTCACAACAGGTGACAATTATGCTGAGGTTTTCCTCCGCATTGGAAAGAAGCTTGACAAAGAACTTCCACAGAATCTCGTCATATTGATCAATTCGACCGTGTCTGATTACACAGGCAAAGTGAGTATGGATCCCACCTATTTTTGACATAAAGGTCTTTAGCTTCTGTATTGCCTCTTCGGTGGGCACTGTCCCACTCATCCTTGATTCTCCAAATCCGGGAGTATCAGTGACAAACCAACCTCTACCTTGCTCTCTCGTAACATCCTTAGTTACACCCTTTGCACTAGATCCTGGTACAAATTTGGAGTAATTCTCAAGACCACCCTGAGTCAACATACGTGCGACAGTCGACTTGCCAGATCCTGTTCTTCCAAAAAGGATTATCTTTTCGTTAGACCAAGCTGTGATTACGTCTGTATCAGCCGAGCTTATGTCCATATGCATTGTAAATGCATTGGCCTTGTCGACAGCAGCAAGTACAAGTTGTACCTGGTTTACCTGAGTACATTCTGCAATCGTGCTATGGAAATCGCGGGCTATTTCCTTACGAGCTGTACTGTTCTCTAGTGCAACAACAACAGATCTGTGTCTTTTCTCTCCAAACATAGTCCATATTATGTCCAGCTGGTTGCTAAGACTAGAAGATGATTTATTATTCGCAGTATCAGAGTCAAATGCCCACACGACCTTTTTATCACGTCCGTAAAGCCTTCTTAAATGCCTCGATGATATCCACTTTCTTACATCTGACAGAGAACCTCCTTTTATATTTTCTCCCAAGACAGAAAAGGGTCCCGTATCTACAATGGAGTACATTTCCGTTACTCCAGGAGTACTACTCATAAGATTGGCAACAGTAGACCTGTAGTCACCATGTCCAATAACAAGAACAATGTTCTTATCAGCGTCTCTTGCATCTTTGACTTGCTTGAAAACAGATCGAGTTCGAGAGTGGCTTGTACTAGCCATTATTGTAAAACTATGTTGAAGGGTAAGGAAGGGCAGGTGCTTGTAACAAAGACAACATATCAAGTTTGGTAATACAAAGGAATACAAGAATACTTTCTATCATCACTAATTACTATTTCAAGGTGTCTTGCTTAACTTGTCTGTCTGGTTTGTACGGTTGTGGCCGTACATCAGCAACAATGACCGCTCAGTAACTAATGCCAATAATAACGAAATATAACGATAATCAAGCGCATAAAAAGTGCAGTAAGAGCAATACTTAAGGATCCTTCGGCGATCCCAATAATTGGTGACTATGTAAGTGGAGTTCAGTCATTCTTACGTATGATGCTAGGATAGGAGCCAACGGCTGGTAACAATAAAAAAAATACAAAAGATGAGATACAAATATCAGTATTTATATTTGTATCTCATCTTTTGTTCTTTTTTTATTGTGGAAGTAGCATAAAGTCTTCATCTATTCCATCTCCTCCCCTTATTTTTGACATGAAGTACTTCACAGGCCACTCAACAAAATTGTGGATAATATTCATGACTCCCTCTGGTACTTCTACTTGAAACATGGTATTAAGTGCTGCAGAACGTTTGGATTTCGAATGACTAAGAGTGTCAACTGACAAGTTGTTCTTATGGCATATCGTGTCTGTAACTCTCATGCTAGCAAGTTCTCTCTCTAGTCTTTCCAGCGATTCTCTTGCTTTTTTCTTGCGTATTGTAATTAGTTTTTCAGACTTATCTTGGTCGTCCAAAGGTGATTCAAAATCCACACATATGAACTTCTCAGATTTCTCAAACCTTTTCTGAAACATAACTTTCTCATCGTCCGTAAGGTCTTTGTTTCGATAAGTAATAACAACACAAAGATTGTGTATTGCATTTGGAAGCACGCGAGTAAAAAAGTTCCAAAGTATACTATCAAAGTAGTCTAGTCGACCATACTGGACAACGTAGATATAGTAGGAGTGTATCCCACCTATTTTTGACACAAAAGTCTTTAGCTTCTGTATTGCCTCTTCGGTAGGCACTGTCCCGCCTATCTTTGATTCTCCAAATCCAGGAGTATCGGTAACCAACCAACCTCTACCTTGTCCTCTTTTGACTTTCCTAGTTACACCTTTTGCGTCTGATCCGTGTTCAAACTCTTCCGAAGCAACATCAAGACTACCTTTAGTCAGCATATGTGCAACAGTCGACTTGCCAGATCCTGTCCTTCCAAAAAGGATTACTCTTTCAGCAGACCATGCAGTAACATCTTCTGACAATTCTTCATTTACACCCATACGTATGTGCGTGCATACATAGAACCCTTCTGTCCCTCCTACGGCAGTGAGAATAGGTAATATGTCACTTGACGAAGTAATTCCACAAATTACAGAGTTATAATCGTCCCCTATAGTACCAACTTTGTTTCTAGCTGTATCTGTAGTGACAACAATATTTTGTTTGTAGTCGTTGAATACCATGAACATTACATTTCTCTGGTTTGCAATTGTTGTCGACTCGCTCCTGATAGCGGCTGAGCTAAGAGCCCACACAACCTTAATTAGACGCCCATCAAGCCTTCTTAACGAGTTGATTGACATCCACCTTCTAACCTCCGATAAAGATGTCGCTGTTATATTGTCTCCTGGTAGGGGAAAGGATTCCACGCTTATGATGCTATACTTTCTTGCAACATGTACAAGACAATCTCATTAAAAACTACAGCAAAAATTGCACGTTAATGCAAAATACTCAGGGTGATCAAAAGAATCTAAGGCTCGATTGAATCTAAGAACAACTTCGCAACCACAATCCTCCAAGATTGATTCCAATAAAATTGGGCTCCTACACACATCTTCCCAAAAGTAGACAAATCTAAAAAAAACTCCTAAGCA